GGGGGGGGCTGCGCGGTGCGTGCGTGCGTGCGTGCGTGCGTGCGTGCGTGCGTGCGTGCGTGCGTGCATGCGTGTACGGAAGCGCGCGGCCGCGCGGACCCCCTCCAGAGAGGCGGGCGCATCTCCAGGCCACGGGCTCTTGAGCGGGTGTGTGGGTGCCCGGTGCGCGTCGCGGAGTTGTTGGCATAGCGACTGGAGAGAGCCTCCCAGGCATGGGAATTGCCAACGAATGAGGCCTCCCGGTCTCTCCCCGGCTTTGGAGCGGGGACCGCGAAACTGCGATGGAGCCGGCCACAAGGGCGGTCGCGTTCCCGGCAAGGCCTTGGATTGCGGCGAGAGTTAAGGAAACTCCACTCCACCCTCGGCCGCCGGCCGCAGCCCGCCGCCCCTCCTGCTCCCCCGTGGGTGGGCACGCCCGGACCAGGGCGGTTTCACCGGAGGCAGATTGCCAGCTGGGATTCTTGACCGTTGCCGGCGGGGGCACAACACCTCGCACGGGCACCAGCGCGGGGCGCCGGAGATCGGTTTCAATTAGCCCCATGGTTGCCTGCCCCCCCCCCCCTCCCTCCTTTTACCATGCTCCCTCTCGCCCGGGTCCCCGGAAAATAGGAGCGTCCGTGTGTTTTCTTTTCGGCCACCCCCTCCCCCCCCCCCAAAAGCGCCCGGCCGCGGGTTGCCCAAAAACTTGCCCATCTCCTCCCTCCCGCGCGGGTTCAGCCCCCGTTCTCTCCCCCCCTCCTCCCTCCCTCCCTCCGTGCCCCTTTCTTGCCCTTTCGTTGCCGCCTCTCCACCGGACTCGATCCCCCTCCCTCTCTCTCTCTCTCTCCTCCCCCTCCACACACCCCCTGCCCTTGGGCCGTCCACTGGGGGATGTCCACCCACAGCTCACCGCTGGACGGGTTCGAGGCCATTGACCACGAGCCCGACAGCCTCTACTCGATGTCCTCAGTCAATGAGAGTCCCTCCGGCTGGGGAGGGTCTTCTGTGACCGGCTCCTCGCCGGCTATAAGCCACCCCGAGGAGGTTCGTGTCTTTGTACTGCCCCCCCCCCCGCCCCCCCCCCCCCCATGTCCCCCATTTTGCTTCTTCCCTGCGTCGTCCGTCTGC